CCTGCACGCGCCGCGGCGCCTCCTGCTGGCCGCGCAACGGACGGGGCGGGGCCTCGGGGCGGGGCCTACGAAAGGCGTGGCCTTTGGGAGGGTGGGGCGAGAAGAGGCGGACGGTGAGTTGGAACCTCGGTGCCCAATAGACGAAGAGGAAGCTTCTAGGGGCGGAGCCACCCGTCGAGGAAAGAGGCTGTGCGCTGGTGCCTCCTGCCGGCCACTCAATGGATGGGGATGGGCTAGGGCTCGGGGGCGGGGCCTCTGGAAGGGCGGGTCTCTGCCGGGGGCGGGGCCTGTGCTAAGCCGGGCGCCACTTGGGGCCTCTGTGTTCCCAAGTTGGTTGGGTGATGTTTCCACTCTCACCTTCTGTGTGGGCAGGTGTGGATGGGTACAGAACTGGGCTCCTCGATTTATGAACATCTGAGATATTGGAAGGGAAAAGGGTTTCCTTGCCTCCCACCCAGCAGCTGGAGCTTTAAGAGACAAAGCAGATGGTGGCACTAGGCTTAAACGAGGCAAAACGGGGCCAGGTCAGCTCAGGGGCTCTGGCCCAACTGCCTTCCCTGGTCACTTGTTTTGTTTTTCTTTTATAAAGCCCATGACCTTAGCCCTCTGCCTTGGTGTTAACTTTGAGGAATGCTTCTCACAGGGAGGTTCTTTTAGACTTTTCTGTTGCTGCTGTCCTGAGAGATTCCCGTGGTGTGCGATCACAATGCAGAATTCCCACGCTGGGGCCCCCCTTTTTGTTGACAGTGATGGAGTTATAATATTTCCTAGTAATGACCCCATATTTGAGATGGGGGAATGGGAATGGGGACAGACATCTGTAAATGACCATGTTCTATATGCCAGGCCTTTTACTAAGGGCTTTACCTCGGTTATCTCACTCCACGGTGGCATCAACCCTTGTGAAGCAGATAAGAAAAGAGGTTTGGAGAATCAGGCTGCCCGAGGCTGAGCCAAGACTTGGCTTTTCTGATAAAATAACTCCCACGAATCTTTGCATGACCCCCCCCTCCCCGCAATCCACACCAGTCTGCTCACCCGCCATGGGATGGGAGGTTGTAACCAAAATGGCACGCTGGATTATGTCATGGAGGGCAATCTCCCAAGAGACAATTTCAGAGCTGGAAAGATAGCCTGGGTTTAGGCCTGGGTTTTCCTCCAAAGGTATTCCTCACAATCACCAGGGCCGGGCTTCTACTCTCCCCAAACCCTCTTCCATAGGGATTGGAAAGTTACAGTCTGGGGGCCAGATCCGATTTGCTATTTTTATAAATAAAGTTTTATTGGAACCCAGCTGCAGCCTTTTGTTTGCATATTGTCTATGACTGTTTTTATGCAATAGAGAGACTTTATAGCCCAAAAGCCTAGAACATTTATTATCTGGCCCTTTGTAGAAAAAAAAAAATGTGCTGGTCCCTTCCAGTAACACCCGCTGTCTAGTACTGTTCCTCACCTTTGTGTCTGCCCCGGCCAGTTCTCTGCATTGAGCTCCTTCCTCAACTGAGCTGTACTGCTCAAGCCTCCATAACAAAATACCACAGACAGGTCCTTAAAAAATAGGAGTTTCCTTTTTAAAAAAATATTTTTTTAGTTGTTGATGGATCTTTATTTTATTTGCTTATTTATATGTGGTGCTGGGAATCAAACACAGTGCCTTACATGAACGAGGCAAGTGCTCTACCTTGGAGCTACAACTCCAGCCCCAGGAGTTTCCTTTTTAACAGTTGTGTTTAAGTCCAAGACCAAGGTGACAGCAGGGTTGGTTTCTTCTATGGCCCCTCTCAGATTTAAGTTGGCCACCTTCTCACAGTGTCCTCACCTGGCCTTCCTCTGTGTGTGCCTCTTGCATGTCTCTGTGTATCCTGGTTTCCTCTCCTCTCAAGGACACCAGTCAGATTGGATTAGGGTCCACCCTCATTTAATTTAATCACCTCTTTAAAGTCCTTACCTCCAAATTCAGTCACATACTGAAGTACCGTATGTTAGGGCTTCAACATGTGTATTTTATGGGGACACAATTTCTCCCATAACACCTACTTTCATCACCTGGTTTGTCTCTACTCATCCTTTAAAGCCTCACAGGAAGTGTTACTCTTGTGGTAGTCAACCTCCAAGATGGCCCCCAGTGATTCACAGCTCTTGGTTTTCACACCCTAGACAGACTTACATTGAATAGGACTGAATTGTGTAACCAATAAGGTGTTGCCAAAATGGCACTGTGACTTCCAGAACTACTTAATAAAAGAGCTGCCTTTGCCCTCACTCCCACTTAGATGAGTAATTCTGAAGGAAGCCAGCCGCCATGTTGGGAGGACACTCAAGCAGCTCCAGAGGGAAAGGAGAAAGTGGAGCATCTGCCAACAGTCACCACCCACTCACCATCAGTGTCAGCGAGTGCGCTGGATGTGGTCCCTCCAGCCTCCATAGTCATCAGAATGCTGCATCCCTGACCAACATCTTGATAAAGTCAAATGAGGGACCAGGAGCCAGAATCTCTCAGCAAAGCTGCTCCCAAAGCCCTGGCTCTCATAAATCACATGTGGTAATAAATGGCTATTATTATTGATTCAAGAACTGAGTTTTGGGGGACAGTTTGTTATGTGGCATTAGGTAACTAATACCCATCACTCCAGAAGGCCTTCCCCTCCCCCCCCAAACATGGCTACCTGTCCTTCTTTGAATTCCCACAACCTTTTGTGTTTTTCCTTTTCATTAAGCCAGTCCACATTAGTCAAATTATACTCCTTAAACATAAATCAGATGTTGCTACTTCTCCACCTATAATCCTCTAACAATTTCCTTTTACACTTTAAATACAGTAGGATTCACAAAACCCTGCTCCCACGGGGCCCTGCTGGCAGCCGCAGCTTCCCTTCTGTCACAGAGCTCCAGCCCCCTGAACTGTCTCCAAGCACACTAGCTCACGTCCCTCCTCCCAGACCTTTCCTCTTGCCGTCTCCTATGCCTGAATGTTCTTTCTGCTGTGTGCACGAGGGTGTGTCCATCCTAGTTTGCCGACCACCTCCTGACCATCACCCCCGATTTATTTAATTCATAGACCTTTGTCACTGCTGAACTTCATCCACTTGTATATTTCAGACACGGTAGTTTATGTTCCTTTACTGTTATCTTTGGTGCATAGTAGGCTTGTAATAAATATTTGTTAAATGAATAAATGAATGGATAGATTTCCATCTCCTCCCACTCCCTCCTCAACTGGAAGTTTCTCAAGGGCAAGTCCAGTTTTGTTCACCTTTGTCTCTCAGCAGCTGCACCCAGGCAAGCCATCAAAACAAGTTTTTCAACAATTAGGTTGACTATCTTTGGAAATCTTACTGGACAGAAATGGAGTGTTGAGCTGCTCTCTTTGGCCACTGGAAGGTGGAAGTGTCCTGGGACCTAAGGAAAGGACCCACTGAACCCAAAAGAGAAGCATCTGGTTAAGGTCAAAGGGTGGTTCCTTAGGTTTTACTAGGGACAAAGAGAATGGGCTGTTGGGAGAGCCAGGAGAGAGGAAGATGACTGCAGACACAGCACCTCTTGGCACTGGTAACATATGGGGTGACAGAGTGACAGCAATGAGCCAGGCACCCTCTAGGAACTTACACTCTGGTGAACAGTAAAGAAATCATTCTATTGCAGTGAGATAGCAATTATGTGACAGTTAATGCTGTGTAACAAACACTCAGAGGCTTATACTAGGAAGCATTCACTGCTGCTCATGGGTCTGCAGGTTCCTGTTGCTCCAGTGAGCTGGACTTGAACTGGCAGGGTTTGGCCTCAGATCTTCTCTACATGTCTCCTCATTCAGGAAGCAGTACTCTGACCGGTGGCAGAAGTGTGAGCTTATTAAAGCATCTACGGACGTCACATCCACCAGCATTCCATTGGCCCAAACAAATGGCATGGCGAAGGCGAGTGAGTGAAGGGGAAGAGAGGTCAGGATGCTGCTTCTACAAGCCAGAGAGCACCAGCGATTGCAGCACCCCTGAACGCTGGGAAACCCCAGGACAGATTCTCCCTGACACCCCCGAGAAGGAACCAGCCCTGCCAACAACGTGATGTCAGACTTCTGATCTATGAGGCAATAAATTTCTGTCATTCCATCTTCCCAGTTTGCTGCCCCAGGAAGCTAGTAGAACACACTAATAGGATCACAGATGTCACCCAGGTTGCTGGCTTGCCAAAGACCAAGAGGCCATCACCCAAAGTCATGGGAGAGAAGCGTCTATATTATCTTTTTTGATACAGTACGCACATATTGGGGTTCGTGCATGGATTCATGATATCCAGTAGGCATTTGGATCTATGGAGCTGCAGCTGGGGTGAGATATTTAAGAAAGTGTTGATTTGGGGCCCGGTGCCATGGATGTGGATGTGTTTGATTGAAACAAACAACGATGACCGTTTCAATACCACTGAAACAGATCATACAGGGGCTGGGGCTGGGGCTCCGTGGTACGGTGCTTGCCCAGCATGTGTGAGGCCTTGGGTTCGATCCTCAGCACCACATATGAATAAATAAAATTAAAAAGTATTGTGTCCAACTACAACTAAAAAAATAAATATTAAAAGAGAAGATAATTATAATTATTTTAAAAAACCAAATCATACTATATTCTTGAGTGTTTTGTCTATTCTGAAGAAAATTGAACTACATTTACTCAACTCAAAAAAAAAAAAAAACTTCCAGGTGGGGTGGAACTTCAGGACTCATCTACCTAACTCTGGATATTTTCTTTTTCTGCTCTACCAGCATAGATTCATTTCTCTCAGCATACTTTGTGGATTCATTCAATTTCACCTCTACAAAATCTCCGGTGAGGGCTCTAAATGCATACAGCACAGACTGTGTACAAAATAATTCAATAGGTAAATAAATAATACAAATAATACAAATACAAAATAATTCAGTTCCATTAAAGTTGTGCGGGTGGAGAAGGCTTTGGGAAGTCCGGTGTTCTCGGGTCTGGGAGTATGTTGAAACACTGATTCATCTCCATCTGCACAGAAGTTAGGAGCCATCTTGTTAGCCAAAAATGTGAGTCCAGCATACAGACACAGCATAGAAGAAAATGTGTGAGGCACTGGGCTCGGTCCTAGCACCACATAAAATCAAATAAAGGCATTGAGTCCATACACAACTAAAAGTTTTGTTCACTTGGTCTCTCAAAAAATTAGGAAAAAAAAAGAAAAAGAAAACACATATTGAACCAGATATGCTTGGGAGGGTCTGATATTTCCATCAATATTGATTTTTTTAATTTGTTTACTTGACACTTCACCTGTGAGCACTGGTTTATGACATATACAGGAGAAAAAATGATGACAGATGACAGATGACAGATGATACTACATATTAATATTTTATTTTGAGAACTGATAGTAAGTGGCCATTTTTTTCCCCCAAATTTAGGGTAAAAGAGGCCCAGGTGGAGGTCTTCTCTCTAGTGCCCAAGAAAAGAAATGGGTGAGTTTCAGAATCTGACATCACTGATTTGTGGACCCAAAGCCAAAAGAGGCCAACAGATTTGCCCAGGTTCACAAAATGAATCACAGATTACTTCTCCCTTGTGAATCACTATAAAAAAAGACACATTAAATGTTGGAGAGGATATGGTGAAATCATATCCTCGGCTGGTAGGAATGTAGCATTGTGCCTCAAAAACAACCGTTTGGCGGTCCCTCAAATGATGAGACAGAATGGCCATATGACCCAGAATTTCTACTCTGAAGTCTATTCCCAAGAGAAATGAAGACATAGTTCTACACAAATACTCACCTACAAAATGTTTACAGCATTATTTTAATAGCCCAAAAGGTAGAAATAAAGGTGGAAAACTAGATGTCCATCAATGGGCAAATGGATAAACAAAAATATGGACACAATGAAATATTACGCAGTCATGAAAAGATATGAAGTACTAACACACATACTACAATGCAGACGGACCTTGAAAAGGTTAGGCTAAGTGAACTAAGCCAGACACAGAAAGGAAAAATGTTGTGTGGTTCCTGTGATATGAATATCTAGAATAGGCAAATCTATAGAGATAAAATAGAAGAGAGGTTGCTCAGGGCTGGAGGGGAGATGAGAGATAAGAAGGTGGTGTCTGAGGGGTTTCTCTGGGGTTCATAAAAATGTTCTGAAATTGTAATGGTTGCATAACTCAGTATATACTAAATATCTTTGAATTATGCACTTCAGTGGGTAAATCATATAATATGTGAAATATATCTCAATAAAGATGGGTTTTTAAATATTTATTTATTTTCCTTTTTTATTATTTGTTCTTTTTTAGATATACATGACAGTAGAGTGTATTCTGGCATATTACACATACACAGAATTTAACTTATTCTAATTAGGATCCCATTCTTGTGGTTGTACATGATGTGGAGTTACCCGGGTCATGGATTCATAGATAAGAATAGGGAATTTATGTCTGACTCATTCTGCTCTCCTTCCTATTCCCACACTCCTCCCACCCCTGGGATTCATTCCTCTTTGTCTAATCCCATGGACTTCTATTCTTCCCCTCCCCAGCCTCTCTTGTTGTGGGTTAGTATCCACGTATCAGAGAGAACATTCAGCCTTTGGTTGGGGGGGTTGGCTTATCGCTCTTAGCATGTTATTATCTAGTTCCATCCATTTACTGGAGAATGTCAAAAAGATGGTCTTTTAAAGATAGACAATCTTACCACCAAAATGAGTACGTGATGTAATGCTTATGCTAATTAGCTCAATAGAGTCATTCCACAACATGCATCTATTTTTTTTTTTAGTTATAGATGGACAGAATGCCTTTATTTTATTTATTTATTTTTTTACTATTTATTTATTTTTTAGATGTAGATGGACACAACACAATGCCTTTATTTTTATGTGGTGCTGAGGATCAAACCCGGGTCCAGCCCGTCCTAGGCGAGCGCTCCACCACTGAGCCACAGTCCCAGCCCTATTTGTTTATTTTTATGTGGTGCTGAGGATCAAACCCAGAGCCTTGCACAGGCTAGGCAAGTGCTCTGCCACTGAGCTACATCTCCAGCCCCACATGTATCTATTCCAAGACATTGTGTTCTACTCAACAAACATGTACAATTTTTATTCGTGATTTTTTTTTGGTTAGGAGGATATTTAGGATTGAACCCAAAGGTGCTCTGTTACTGATACACCCCCAGCCCCCCCTTTTTTTTTATTTTGAAACAAGGTCTCCCTAAATTACTGAGGCTGGCTTTGAACTAGTGATCTTCTTGCTTCAGACACCCAAGTCACTGGGATTATAGGCATGTACTGCCCCTGACTTTTATTTATGAATTTAAAAAATTAAATTGAATTAGAAATCAATCAATTAATATTTAACCAGGATGAAGTAAAAATATGCAAGCAAGACAGACAAAGCAATTCTAATAGTAGGGACTTCTGGGTGATAGAGTTTGTAGAAGACTGCATTTCTGAAGATAGCCATACCAACGTACATCCGTCCCACACTTATCAGGCACTGTAACAGACTCATATCCATGAGGGTGGAGGAGGGAGTCTACATTATCTTCCCTTGAACTTGGAAGGACCTTTTTAGCTGCCTCCACCCATGGAAGATGGCAGAAATGGTGGTGAATGGCTTCCAAGTCCAGGTCAAAAGGCCATATGTCTCCCCATGACTCTTTCTCTTGAGACACTGGCCTTGGGACCCAACCACCATGTTGTAAGGAAGCCCAGGTCACATGTGGAGGTCCCACCTGGGTTTAGAGTCACGTTGTCTTTATTCTGATAAAATAAGGTCTTTTTTGACATCTGGAGCATTAGGGATCAGTACGGACTCGGGGGGCCGGGGGGGGGGCACGCTGGTCAATTCCTAGAGCCTCTTCCTCTCCTCTTTCCCACAGAAGCCATAATAAAGGCCCTAGAGTTTGTTTTCCTCTATCTACCACCTGAACAAACCTAGTGCTCCCCCATGTGGCCCCAAGGTGTGGCATCCTGTGCCCTCTCCTCTGAAGATCTGGAAGTAGGCAACCGTGTTCCAGTGGCAATTTTCTCCTGATCTCACTGAACCTGAATCATAATAAAACCTGCAAGTTAAGGCAAGGTTTTCTGCTGATCTCCCCCCCCCACCCCCACCCCAGGGTCCTCGCCAACTACCAGCCTTCGCCACCAGATGCACAAGGGGAGTCCAGCCTCCATTTCCACCAGCTGAGGTCCCCACCCACAGAAACCACAAGAGACGCTGATGATTCCCATGGTCTCAGCCACTGTATTTTAGGATGGTTTGTCATACAGCAACAGATGATAGTACAGCACTTGGAATTTACTTTACATGTTTTTACTGAACATCTCAACTTTTCTACAATGAGCAGAGAATGCTTTTATTTTTTATTTTTTTAAAAAAAAAGAGCCAGCAAATGTTATTTTTAAAAAGAAGAAAGAATTCGGCAAGACCGAGGCATCTTGAATTTTTCTTTATTGAAGTGCTTTCTACTCCACTGGAAACAGCAGCAATTCACCAGAAGGGTTATTATTCTTCTTCATACAAATGTTTATCAAATAACTGTGTTAATACAAAATACCGATTTCACAAACACGGGAAGGTTTCCAATATCAGCAGGACATTTTTAAAAAGTCATGCCACAAATGTCACTCTCGAACACTGTGGGCTTCATAGATCTATAAAAGAGGGCTTGAAAGACACTCAGAGGGCTCCTGCTTTCTACCTTAAGAAGCAAGTGGGAAGCTCTTTGTGGACCCCAAATGTAAACAGGGATGGTGGGCAGTCCATCCAGCGGGAAGCCAGAGCCTGGAATTGAAATCGCCTCTGGAGGCAGGGTAGCCCTTTCAAAATGGGGTCCAGAACTTTCTAGAATGCATTCCACCTTTCCCTCCGGCCTTCCATCTCTGGCTGAGCACATTCCTGTGGTCTGCCCTTTCAAGGTCTCTAAATCTTCTAATCCCCAAACACCCTCCAACCAGCATGGGGCCGCCACCAGGACCAGAGACCCTAAGATTTGACCCCACAGTCCTCTCAGTAAGGTCAGGGTACTGCATAACCAGACATTTGGAAACTCCTCATTTCTCTCTCCCTACCTGTCCCCACGTGGCTTCAGGGCACCCAGACCCCTCCGAGGTGTGGCACCATGTCAACCCCCGCCAGTCACAACAGATGGGCACGGAGCACCCGCTACTGATGACCTCGGCTTTCCAGGGGTGTCCCACCAAGAGCAGCTTCCAGAATTTAGGGTTCAACCCCACTTGTCGATCACAAGATCAATTTAGTTGGATTGCAACTTGAACAAACCAGATTGGCTGGAGGAGGGCAGAGCACAGAAAGATGGGCAAAGATCGATCAGATGGTGGCATGACGTGAATGTTTGTGTCCCTCAAAATTCTGTGTTGAAATGCCAGCCCCTAAAGTTCTCATGATAAGGGATGGACCCTTGGGGAGGTGACGGGTCAGAGGGTCTGAGCCCTCACGAATGAGACCCGTGCTCCATCAAGAGGCCTCAGAGAGCTCCCTTGTGCCTTCAGACACAGGAGGACAGACCGCAAGGAGCCAGGAGCCGGGAGGGTGAGCCGCCCTCATTGGAATCTGCCAGCCCTTGATCTTGAACTGCCAGCTTCCAGACAGTGAGAAATAAATGTCTGTTGTTTGATGACGAGCCACCTAGTCTGTGGGATTTTTCTTGTAGCAGCCCACATGGACTCTGATCGGGATAGAATAGGAGAGGACAGAACAGGACGGGACACATTGATCCCCCAGGCCCCTGCAGTGACCGATGTGAAAGCCAGAATCACAGTGTGAGACATAAATTCTAAGAATGGGTCTTCATTAAAAAGGGGGAAACACTGACATCACTTGGGGTGCGTGGGAAGGACAGCCGCCTGTGTCACATGGAGCCTGACCAGGGTCACAGAAGGAGCAGGACACGCCACTCCTACAAGTGCTGCTGGAGACACCGGGAGGTGGCATCCTCCCCTACCACAGCTGTGAGGTGGCCTGACCAGGCACAGGAACGTGAGCATGCCCCTTCAGATCTCTCGGAGCTGGGGCAAAGCTGGCAGAGCTGGTGACATGGCAGTGGGAGGCGAGCCACCAAGGCCTGGTTGGTGGGGGTGCGCTTCACCTGCTGCCTGGACGTCAGCTCTTGGGGAACAAAACAGCCCCTACCCAGAAAGAGGAAGGACAAGACACCTAAGATCCTGAGCTGTGCTCCAGTCCTGCCCTGCTCTGGCTGGGTGACCAGGGATAGGTCTCTCAACCTCTCTGGGCAGCCTCAGTCTCTGCACACAATGCAAACAGACATTTCTTCTTGCCAGGTTTTGGGGGGCAAAATATATAAGAACATGGATGTGAATCTGTACGCGTTCCTAAGTGCATGCATGACCTCAGGAACTGGGGAGATGCGTGGTGCAGGCGGTGCTGGCTCTACAAAACCATGAGACTGAGTGCAGCCTCTGCCTGCTACCGTGATGCCAAGACTCGCCTTAGCCAAGTTCATGCTCCCAGAGGCTCCTGGCTTGCAGTGTGGCTGAGTAGTTGACCACCCACCTCTGGAGCTTGCAGGAACGCCAGCACCCCCTCCTTAGTCCTGCAGCAGCACTCCAGAGGGTGGCAGGCCCTCGCTGCAGGGCCCCTTACGGCTCTGCCTTGAGTAGCATCCTCCACAATTCTCACCTTCTCTCCCACCTCCAACCAGGTCACCTGCAGAATGGCATGCACCTCTCCCCACCCCCCTCCCTCATGCCAGAGTTGATGGTCCTGCATCTCCCGGGCGATCCAGCCTGTGGGCAGCACCCAAGCAGCTGGTCCTGGGATACCCAGGCTCCCCTGGGGATTGGGCACAGTGGCCATTGTGGGGAAAGGTTGGGCCAGTGACAGGTGGCAGTATGGCAGCCATGGCTGGATGGCACAGGAAGCATGAGGTGACCTAGAAAAAAGTGCCTCAGTATGGAAAGGCCCTCGTCACGGCTTGTCTGAACCTTCTCATGACCTAGACATGAGCTCTGATGACCTGCAGGATCCCTCGTCAGAGGTCACCTGCCACCTTGTGGCTAACCTAAGCTACAGTGGCTGAAATGGGGGTAGCTTGGTCTATGAACATTGTCACTGGTGGAGGATGTCCAGGTGCAAAGTGAAGAGGAAGATTTTAGATCTAGACCAGTGGTTCTAGAACAGCAGTGAATGTTGTGGACCAGCCTGGAGATCCCCAATGTCCTGCCAAGGGATTCACAAAGCCTCACTATTTTCATGATAATACCAGGACATTGTTTGTCCTGTCCCCCTCACTCTTTCCCACAGGTACACCACCGATTTCCAGCAGCTACCCGACTGTGACATCGTGACATCGCAGCCAACCAAATACAAAGGCAGGTGGGAGAATCCTGCGCCTTCTGCAAAATCAGACATGCAAGAGATTCACACAAGTGCACACCCCTCCTGCCCACATGGACTTTGTTTGGGGGAAAAAAAAAAGTTATTTCTAATAGAAAAATAGGTTGCTCATGTTACCATGTAACGGGTTTGTTCCCTTTAAATGAGTTAACAGTTATTTTTTTACTATTGTTTTAATTTCTAGTCTGATGAATGTTAACAGACACAGACCACCTGAACTAAGGCTCTTTGGTGTTGTCAATAATTTTAAAGAAGTCCCAAGGCCAGAACACGGGAGAGCTGCTGAGCCACCTGCCTTGTCCAGTCGCTTTCAGCAATGATGGAAAACGTTCCAGTTGGTGTGGCCCCAAATGGTAGCCACTCGCCATGTGTCCCCAGTAAGCCCTTAACACATGGCTAGTGCACCTGAGGGGAATGGATTTTCATTTTGATTTCATTTTAATTGGTGTAAGTTTAAATATCCCCCTGAAACTAGAGGCTACTATTTTGGAGAGCACCTCTAAGTTCCTGTGCCCACCAGAATTCTCTAGTTTTATTTCCCCATGTTGAGTTGATCAGAGGGATCTGTGCATGAGGGGGTGTCCTGGATTTCCACCCCTTCCCCTCCCAGGAGACCTCTCCTCAGGCTGGGAAGGGGTCTGCCATGCTCATCAATTCCAGCTTTATGCCACACTGGTAGCCTGAAATTGACCATGGTGGAATTCTTTACATCTTGGAAATTGTTAATGTTAACACATCAGAGATTTTTAAAAACTGCTATTTGATTTTTTTTTCTCTCTGCACATGTTATTTCAAATTTTTTTAAGCTCAGCTCTTTTTCTTGGAGAAAAGTCTTAGGGGCAGTGAGTTTCCTGGGAAGCGGCAAAGGTAGGCCAAGGGCAGGATGCTTGGGCATCAGATAGTCCTGGTTTTAAAGCTTTGCTCAGCTGGGTGCCCTTGGGAAAGTCATCAGACCTCTCTGTGCTTTGGCTTTCTGCTTTGTAAGATCCTCTAATGATCCTCCCCACACAGGGAGACTGAGTCAGTCAATGCAGGGGGCATCTAGGAAACCACTAGCAAAGACAGAGACCGCCACCACCTTCCAGTAGGAGCTCATACAGGGAACCCCACCTCCACAGCGTCCTGCTCCTTGTCTGCATTGGAAGTGACTGTTGGGATTGTCATTGGCTCTTTCTGGCCCTCACGGATGCTGTTCCCAGAGCCAGCACGTCTACATCAGGCTATGCAGTCTAGGGAGAGGCCTGCAGGTAGCTTCCCAGTCAGTGATAAAGACCCCAGGGGAGATGCAACCCTGAGATCCCCAAGAGTTCTCAGTGCTGGCCCCGCCCTACTGTGCGTGGCCCCGCCCACAACCAAGGCGACTTTCAAATTCAAATCAAGGCCCACTGCAATTCCCAGCTCCACATCCTCCTCCCAACTGCCTAGAACTTTCCTGGGTTTCTACCTCATCGGAGCCCCAGGGGATAGACAGAAGCTCAGACTTGCGCATATGCCATACCTTCAACTTCCAATCAAGAGGAAGGGCAGCTCTGAGATTTGGAGGGGGGCAGGTACCAGGGACTGAACTCGAAGAAGACTCGACCACTGAGCCACATCCCCAGCCCTATTTTTGTATTTTGTGTAGAGACAAGGTCTCACTGAGTTGCTTAGCACCTCACTTTTCCTGAGGCTGGCTCTGGACTCGCCATCCTCCTGTCTCAGCCTCCGGAGCCACTGGGAGTACAGGCGTGTGCCATGGCAACCGGCCAATTCTGTGATATTGATCCAAATTCTTCTAGGGTAGCCACAGGAACCCAGCCTAGGATGCTTCTGAGACAGCCTTACCCACCAGAGGGACTGGCCAGATGGAACTTCTCTGAACTGTTTGTGATGCGCTGGGGGAGATCCAGAGTGTGGATCCTGGGAAACTCAACTTGTGAATGATGCTGGGAAAAGACAGGTTTATGGGAAGCATGTCCTAAATTGGAACTAGGACAGGAAAGGTGACCAAGACCCCTCAGAACGCCACCCTTCCAGAGTCCTCACCAGCCTGACCACAGTTGGAAATTCTACCATTAGGGGTTCACTTCTTTGGCTGACGCCCCTGAGAGTGTCATCTTTGTGATCACGACTTGCCTCTCCAGTGGACAGCTAGCAGAAGGAAGGAGCATGCAAGGCCCCGTGTCACACTTCCCTTATCCTGCTGTGTCTTCAGGCAGCCCTGTAAGGTGCCGACGTACAGCTGCAACAAGGTCATCTTACAGCTGGGGACGCTGAAGCTCTCTCATGGGGATGCCAGGTTTGGCCCCAAGCCTAGGGAGACACAGCTCTTCCCTCAGGGAGCATACAAGTACCTGGATGACAGACAGGTCCCTGAGCACTGGTGTAGGCGAGACAGGGAGGCACAGGAGGCCGAGCCCGGAGTCAGACCAAGGACATGCGCCTCAGTGCTGATGCCCGGGCTGGGTTTTGAAGGATGCGTAGGAGTTGGGTAGATAAGGAGGTGAACAAAGATCCCTGCAGAGGGACTGGCACCTCAAGAGGGGCACACAGGGGTGGCTGTTTTGGGAAAACGTACCATCAAGTGCCTAAGAGGAGGAGCACAGAGAGATGCAGGTCCCAGACTCAGGGGCCACTAGAGAAGCCCAAGTCAACATTCCCAGCACCTGCCACTATTTCCGGGAACCTGCCTGTCCCCAGCAGCATCCTGATGTCGGGACTTTTGGTTGGCCTGGCATGGTGCCACACTTCCTTCCCATGCAGCACCTCAGGTCCTCCGGGACTCCCTTTCCCAGCCTCAGGCCCAGGCAGAAGTCGGTTCTCTGTGTCTCTGACCCCAGGCGGGAGACAACCTCTCCCCGGCTGCCCTCGCCTCCAAAGCTTTCCCTTCCCTCTGACCTCCAGTCCTGGCCCCAGCTGGTTGGAGACACCCAGGGAGTCACAGGGACAGGTTTACCCAAGACACCTGCCAGGGGACGGAGGGCAGATATGCAGGTGTGCACACATGGACAGGTAAACAGAACCAGCCCAAGGCATCCCCCACTCAGAAGCCAGCTGTCTGAGGAATGTGTCAAGATGATTTAACACTGGCTTGAACCAACGGGATTCCAGGTCCCCGGGAGCTCAGAAATGCCCTGGAATGTTCTAGAAGGAAGCATAAGGCACCCTGTGTCGGTCCACCTTTGTCCACCCCAGTCGGGTTGGAAGTCATGGAATAAGAACCTTCAAACTTGAGACAGATGTGTTATTACCCAGAGGTTCTGAGATGCCAATTCAGATCCCAGAGCCGGGCAGCCACTTCTGTCCTGTCCCCAGCAAAAGTCCAGAGAGAGGCTGGCCCCGTCCCGCAGGATGTGGGGTCAGGCCCTCGGGGGCTGCGGTGTTGGCTGGGTGGGCCCTCCAGAGGGCCAGGACCCGGATGCTCTGCACAGGTCCACATCCAGGTGAGGCCAAGGAGCGCAGCTGAGTGGCCTCTAGGAGCCATGACCTGGCACCTGGAGAGACTCCCAATGTTGGCACCACCACAGGCAGAGGAGCAGGTTCCCAGGGACCTGCTTGTCCCCTCTGATGAATGAATGAGTCATTGTTTCTCTGGACTCTTCGGGATGAGAAGAAATGGCCAAGAAGCAGCACCCGCGCTTCTCCTGCTCCCTCCTCCTCAGTGCTGAGGACCAACTCTGGTTCTTGGAGGCATTGGGGGCTGCCCCGCTGGGGTGCCTCAGTCTCCCGCTAGTGCCCAAAGCTGCCCACTCCAAGAGCTTCTCCAGAAGGAGAAAGGAAGAGGGAGTCGAAGGCATTAGTGCCATTAGCCCCTTGGTGACTTCCATCTGCTCTGCCCGTGATCCCTTCAGAGGTCGCCAGACTGGATGAGCCGGGAGGTTCCATCCGCAGTGCCAAACCGATGGGTAGTGGGCACCCAGGGCACCGAGCGGAAAAGAATTCTGACCCCAGGCACAGGCTGTGATTGACAGGCGCTCTCTTCCACGGTCAAGGGTGTGATGTGCCACCTCTCGTCTGAACAGGGGACAATTTCCCAGCTGGGACCTTGGCAGCACAGAGAGAGGCCCTGGCAAGTGGGTTCTGTGCCACCCACTAGACTCCTCAGGACTTTCAAAGGCACGGCTCGGCCCATGGTTCCCCAGTCTGCCCTTTCTGAAGACGTTAATGCTGGTTGTTAGGAAACGCTCGTCTACGGTAGAAACGCACGGCAGGGTTAGTTTCTCCTTCGTGGAGATGACTAAAAGCTCTCCTTCTTACCAGTCTTCAGGGATGGCCTGGCTGTCACCAGAAGGAAACTCACACCCTGCAAAAACTCAGTCCAGGGAAGGGCAGGGCCTCGGCACTGATTCCGGTGACAGTTCACAGATCACGCCCAGTGATGCTCTGATCCCAAAGCCCAAGGGACGGATGGAGTCTGGGCCATCTCATTTGGACACCTTGGTTTGCAGGGTGCTGGGCAGGTAGAGGTACCTCCAGATGGCGTAGTAGTGGGTGCCAGCACCGAACGCCACAAAGAGGTGCCAGATGGCGTGGGCAAAGGGGATCCTGCCGTCACTCTTGAAGAACACCATGCCCAAGCAGTAGAAGACCCCTCCGGTCATCAGCTCCCAGATACCATCGGTGTTGGGCTGTTAGCAAGGACAGGGTGGGGCACAGGTCAGAGGAGCAGCCAGCAGCCCCTACCACCCAAACCAAAAGACAAGTAGGTGTCGAGCCAGCCCAGAGTCCCCATGGGAGTCTTGAAATTGCTGAGTGGACAATCCAGCTGCAGAGTGATCCTTTGGGGATCACTCCCCAGGTCCCCGAGGGACCTTGCCCGCCTGCCCACCAGGTACTCACCAGTCAAGAACCTTCAAACTTGAGACAGATGCGTTACCCAGAGGTTCTGAGATGCCAATTCAGATCCCAGAGCCGGGCGGCCACTTCTATTAATTACACAGTCATAGTAATTCCCAGCATTTCCCAGTACTTTCTATGGGCCAGGTACCATCTTAAGTGTGTATTTGAATTGTGTAACGTCATCTTCACGAGAATCTTATGAGGTGGGTTTTATGCTGTGGACAGCCACGGGGAAATGCCAGTGACATGGTGCAAAGAAAAACACAGGTATAGAAGAGTCCATTTCAATCTTGTATAATAAAAATAGACACCAGACGTAATGGTGCACACCTGTAATCCCAGCAGCTCGGGAGGCTGAGGCAGGAGGATTTCAAGTTCAAGGCCAGCCTCACCAACTTAGGGAGGCTCTAAGCAACTTAGTGAGATCCTGTCTCTAAAAAAGGGGGCAGGGGCTGGGGATGTGACTCCGTGGTTAAGCCCCCCTGGGTTCAATCCCTGGCACCAAAAAAGGAAAAAAAATTGAATAATAGACAAGGCAGTATGTGTCTGCCTATCCCCAGATACCTGCATCTAAAATTTTTAAATGGAGGGCTGAGGATGTAGCTCAGCAGTAAAGCACTTGCCTAGCATGCACAAGGCCCTGGGTTCTATCCCCAGCACCACAATAAAAAGTAAATCTTACAATAGGAAAAGATACACAACAAACTGTTCATGGTGGTTACAGCTGGGGGTATTGTGCTCTGGAGAGGGTGGGAGGTGCCATTTTATGCAGGACTTCTCTGTTGAGTGACTACATGATTACACATGCATCTACTATGTATGTATCTAAAGATATGATACATAATTTAATGAATATGTTATAATTTAATAGATGAATATATATATATATATATTTAAACAAAAATAAACTCAAGTGGGGGAAAAAGGTAATCTGGGAAAACAAATACAAATATAAAGGGAAACTGTTGAACAGGTAGAACAATATGGAAAGATTTCACTGCCCAGTATGAAAATGCAGTTAAAGCTGCCCACAAATCCGTTTGGTAAAAAGAAGCCAACAATGGAATCTAAGAAACAGTTCTATCTATCTAGGTGGACATTTGAATTTCCCATGTGATGCAAGGAAGATTTGTAAATGGTAGATAAATGAAACAATGGCTGACCATTTGGGGAGGGATCACCATATACAAAAGAAACCACAGTGAATAGAAAAGTAAAATGTGGCCTGGTGCAGTGGCGCATGCCTGTGATCCCAGAGACACGGGAGGCTGAGGCAGGAGGATCGCAAGTTGCAGGCCAGCCTCAGCAACTT